GCCCTCTTGTGACCCACAACGTAGTCTTTCATCCCTCTCTATTATACACTCATAATCTCACACCCATTCACCCTCTCCTTAGTACCCACACCCCATTCTCATATTCCCCCTCCCCATCACTCTTTTCACCTACACCTATTCCCCCTTCCCTCAAAGCACCCACACTCATTCCTCCCTTGTCCCCTATCACCCACACACCCCATGACCCCTCCCCCTATCCTCCCCGCCAACACCCACACACCCTATCAACAATACACCCCTGCCCTCTCACCCCTTCATGCACTGGTTAGTGGACGTCACTCACAATGGAGGGACCCAGGATCCATTTTCCGGCCAATAGAGAAACAATTGGACAGAGGGTCTTGTTACGTCCTGTCAATCTTCACTTAGAAGGAAATAGGTACCTGCCTCTTTCCTTTCTCTCACTCACAGTTGACTCTTTCTCCCTCTTTTTTCGCTCTCTCACTCTCTCTCTCTCTCTCTCTCGGTCTCGCTCTCTCTCTCTCTCTCTCTCTCTCTCTCTCTCTCTCTCTCTCTCTCTCTCTCTCTCTCTCTCTCTCTCTCTCTCTCTCTCTCTCTCTCTATCTCTCTCTCCTTCCTCTACAAAACATTATAAGTGAACAAATTATAAGTGGTTAAGGACACAGCATTATCTCAATTTGTTATTATCGTTAATAACATATTTATTATTACAATTATCATTAAGCTTTAAATGTATATATATATATATATATATATATATATATATATATATATATATATATATATATATATATATAACACACGCAGACAGGCAAACAAGTAGATAGATACAAAAATTTCCACACAAATACTTGTACAAGAAAAATCGTTCTGCTATCTTAATCCGGATTTTTCTCCCCCATTTACGGATTCGGATTAGGATAGCCGAATGAATGGCTGAACGTACAAGCAGTGTCCGGGAAGCTAATGTGGTGCTGCATGCTTCAGTAGCCCCCCGGGCAAGGTGTATGTCAGGCTACACTAATGTGTGTGAGACGAACTACATTATACGAAAAAGGGGACACACGAAGTGTCGCGCATGTACGAATGATCTTGTATAGACTCGCGTCACAAAGGTATTTATGGCGGCCACAACAAAGGTACTCTCTGGCGGCGTTTTCTAACCAAATTTTTCTAACCAAACTAACAATTCTGTCCTAATGAAGAATGTTATTATATCCTAGTAAGGGACATAATTCCGTTCAGGTGTGTAATAAAATTATATCCAATTTTATTGAGGAATACATTTTTTGGTTCAGTCAGAAATACAAATATATCCACTTGAGGAATGCAATTCGGTCCAAGTTAAGAATACAATTACATCCAAGGGTGGATAGCAATTTTGTCTTAGGATTAAAATTCACCACGTTGAAAAAACAAAGCACAGTTACAAATTTCAGCCACTTGGGCCCCTGGGAAGATTCGAACTCTGGACCTCCACGAGCGGCAGATAAGAGCTGGATCTCCAGGCCATGCAGACGGATACAATATTGAAGATTTCAGAGGCAGTAAACAATTACAGTTACAAATCAGTTTTACACAGTTACAATTTACCCTAGAAGGCGCATGTGCTTATATATGGTGATAAAAAAAAAAAAAAAAAAAAAAAAAAAAAAAAAAAAAAAAAAAAAAAAAAAAAAAAAAAAAAAAAAAATATATATATATATATATATATATATATATATATATATATATATATATATATATATATATATATACATTAAAACAAAATTATCTAAACTAAAACAAAGTAATGATTCAAGTTATTATTTAAATCATTAAAAAATAATCACGATAATAATTCTAAAATAAGGTGAGTCATAATAATTGCAGTGATGAAGATAATTATAATATAAATAATATAATTTATATGATGAATACAATAAGAATAACAATATCATAATTTATAAAATAAAATATTAAAAATAATAATAATAATAACAATAATAATGAGAAGATCCACAGGAGCCGTGATGTGGATTCGAACCTATGCACTGGGTGTTCCCAGATGCATGTTCCAATCGACTGCGCCACGACATGGTCAAAGGATTTGCAACCTGGGTTACTACTGAACCCTCGAGGATTCCCGAGGCTTCGAATGAAGCCGAAACAGGGTCTTCCCACCCCCCCATCCTCATGCACTCTGGCTTTGTCATCCAGTAAGTCTTCCTCTGATCTCTTTCAATACACAGAGAAAATTTCCTCATTGATATATTATGATAACGTGACTTCTATGTGTATTTAAGAATAATAATAATAATAATAAAATCATTGGAACAGAGTGAGGATCGAACCAGCGTCCTGGTTGACATCAGACACGCGTCATACTCCCCAGGCCACGACATGATAAAGGCATCAGCTCGGTGCCTCCAGACTTTCTCGTCGACTCAGAAGGGTCCCGGGTCAAATAGCCTGCTCTGCATTTCGTGGCGTAGCGGTACGACGCACGACTGGGAACACTCGTGACCCTGCTTCGAGCCCGTCTTGGTCCAATGATTTTTTCCCCCATAGACATATCACGTCATTTTAATTTCCATCTGTGAATAATAATTATACATAGGTTATTAATCTAAAAAAGAAAATATGATTTATATGGACGATTAATGCTTCTGCAGTTTTAATGAACACTGGGAGAAGAATGTATTTTGGAAAGATAATAGATACATTAGTACATTAACACGTATTGAAAGGATGATTGCTCTCCCTCCACCCCTTTTACCCCCTTCACCCCCTTCACTCCCTTCACCTCCCCTCACCCCCTCCGACCCCAGAAACACAAACATTAATCCTGAGGAAAGTGCACTGAGTTAATTTGGTCATGGGGCAGGAATGGATGACTGTGGTCTGGTGAAGTGGGTAAGAAATGAAGAGTCAAAATAGAACACACGCAGCAACTGACGCAGCCAGTCTGAAATAAGATAGGTTAGGTCTGGTTGGGTTCAGATAGTTTATGTTTGTATGTCGAAATGTATTATTTGTGTTTATCTGTTATTGTTTGGGAATCTGAGTTATTTGTGCTACCTGGCTTTCTGTCTGCTTGTTTGTCTGTCTCTCTGAATAGTTGCTTTCTTCTCTGCTCGTCTGTCTGTTTTAAATGCTATATTGCTATAGTTATTCAAATAAGAATCTGGTTTATATAAGAAATATTTTGGGTGGCCTGTCTAAAAGTGTCTGGCTGCCTATGTCCGTGTGCGCTGACAGTAATAAGACGCATAAAACTAAAATATAATTATTTTTTACAAATAGGCTAATAGGAGATTATAAATATAAAATAGACGAATATTAATTATTATTGAATACACAGTGAGATAGATTAGGGTGTCGTGGTCGGCGACCTGCCATTATCAGCAACTTGGAAGAGTTCTTACCGCAGGAGCGGAGGTTTCCTTAAGAAATCATCTGGGAATCTGACTCATTTCCCTTATATCCCTTGTAAAATACACCTGTGTGCTTCTGGGAAAGAGCTGCCACAGTGTGAGCCCACTTCCCAGCTCCCTCTCTCTCTTTATCTCTTCTATTCATCTCTTTCTCTTCCTTTCTTGCACTACAACACCAAAATGAAAGTTGTTTTTTTAACAAATACTAAATGAAACGTGGGTAGCGGTGCCCGTAGGCGTTTGTGATGTGCTGCTGCGAGCTTTGTTCCAGGAGACGGCTGAACTGGATAGTGGGTCACATTAGCCGATTGCCTGGCTGTCCCAAAGTAGGATATGTGGATGTAAGGGGATGTGGGTGAGGTCTGTGGGGGGTGCGGGCGGGTGTCTGTGGAGGGGAGGGGGGGGGGGGGAGGGCGTGCGGGTGTCTGTGGGTGTCTGTGCGCCGGCGCCAACATGAGGCAGTTCAAACTGCGGTTCCAAAATGTCAGGCGAGGAATCTCTCCTCCGATGGCTGGTTCACCATGATGGTGGAGTATGGTGGTGCTGGTTCACCATCATGCTGGAGTATGGTGGTGCTGGTTCACCATGATGGTGGAGTATGGTGGTGCTGGTTCACCATGATGCTGGAGTATGGTGGTGCTGGTTCACCATGATGGTAGAGTATGGTGGTGCTGGTTCACCATCATGCTGGAGTATGGTGGTGCTGGTTCACCATGATGGTAGAGTATGGTGGTGCTGGTTCACCATCATGCTGGAGTATGGTGGTGCTGGTTCACCATCATGCTGGAGTATGGTGGTGCTGGTTCACCATGATGGTAGAGTATGGTGGTGCTGGTTCACCATCATGCTGGAGTATGGAGGTGCTGGTTCACCATCATGCTGGAGTGTATTTCCGGGATGGAGGAACGAAGAACGAACAGTTCAATAATATTAGTAAATCTGATAAAATATGAATAATGTCCATGAAAATATTAATAATACAATATCAACAAATAAATAACAATAAAGACAGCAGAGGACAGACGAAGATGAGGCATCATCTTGACCTTGAAATTAAGGCGTGGTAGAGAAGACACCGAGACGGTCCTATAGTGAAAGTGTGGACATGTTCCGATGGATATAATATAATTCTATGAGTCTGGGGACAGGTAGGCAGTTTATATATACAGTACACGTTAGGCTGATATCGATGCCCCCCTGCCCCCCTTCCCCAGGGACGTATACCCATACGCTAAGGGGGGAAGGGGGTAGTTGAGTAATTAGCAGAGCCTCGCGTAGTCTTGGAAATATGTATATATGAGAAGGGTACCGTGTTAGTGTATTCAACGCCTACTTCAGTATGGCGTCAGGTTATTCGTCATATACTTCACTCGCTACACATTAATATGTGCACCAAGAACTCGCTACACATTAATATGTGCAACAAGAACTCGCTACACATTAATATGTGCACCAAGAACTCGCTACACATTAATATGTGCACCAAGAACTCGCTACACATTAATATGTGCACCAAGAACTCGCTACACATTAATATGTGCACCAAGAACTCGCTACACATTAATATGTGCAACAAGAACTCGCTACACATTAATATGTGCACCAAGAACTCGCTACACATTAATATGTGCACCAAGAACTCGCTACACATTAATATGTGCTCCAAGAACTCAAGCACGTGACGGATATATTTTCCCACGCACATAAGTTGGATTTGTCAATACATTCACCTTAAACGTCAATGTGCAATGTCATTATATTCACCACAAATATCACCTGGGTTTATCCCGATATATTTCTCTCAGAAACATTCAGATATATTCTCAATATGTTCTGTGTCTTTGTTATAGAATTATATTTGTTATTTCATGTTCAGTATTTTTATTATAGTATATTCAATATATTTATTATATCACTATATATAATATATTTATTATATCATTATATGCAATATAATTATTATCTCATTATATGCAGTATATTTATAACAAAATAAAGATGAGATACCAGTAAATCCGTCACAAATCTCAGCTTTACATTCAAACTATTAACAGTTCTGTAGTGAAATACGGACGTATTTACAGACACATCGGCTGTTTGGGCGCAACCCGACCTCGGGGGTCATCCATTACAGAACTAAATACACCTAGTTCATTTACATATAATTCAGTTGTTAAGGTAACTAGTCTAAGTCACTAACTACAGAGAAACAACACCCTCTGTAAATCACTTCGATTCTTCAATCAGTAATCAGTATATTTACCACAAACTCATCTCTGTATTTCTGTATTTTTACCAGTATATTTACCACAAACCCATCTCTGTATTTCCTAGAAAAGTGTGCCGGGTGAGGTAATAGATGCGGGGAGACACCAGACAGTTTCAAGCGGAGGTTATACAAATATATAAGTGTGTATTGTTGGGAGCAAATATTAGCTGCCTTAGCACTGGTTAGCACTAGCCAATGGAAGGGTGTTCTGCGGGTTCTTCAATGCTCACACATTTAATCAACTTTTCAGTGCTCAAATATCAGCATGCATTTTTTCTTCACAAACTCCAGGAACATATTCACCACAAATACTGTAGTTATCTATGTCTTTAGACTAGTAAGTCTCTCTTATTGATGCGTCGAAATCAAGCAACTTGACAATACAAAAACTGGGAATGAGGTATTGTGGGACATACACACACACACACACACACACACACACACACACACACACACACACACACACACACACACACACACACACACTCACACACACACACACACGAAGCACCACAAGACACACAGACATTAGCTATACAATTATGTCCATAAACACATCAATATACACACCCAACACTTAACACCGAAGACAAAACTTTCGCCTTTTCATTTAAAAATATATAAAGGGCGTTCTTGAATACGGGAAACATTGATGTATATGTTCAACATTATTCAACATGTTTCTTGAATACAGGAATAGCCATGAGCACTAGTAAATATTATTGTGTTTCTCATTTAGCTTCTAAACTTGGTAATGTTATTTTTTTCACATATAAACACCACAGTTGGACGGTCCACTGAAACATAGGTTGTGTAATCTTTAAGCCAAAGATTTCTCATGTTTTTACCTATACAGAATCTGTTGAAGCGACCAGAGCTATCTATCCCTCATGTCTATCCTACATCGAACAGGAAGATTTGTTTAGAGAAGAACAGCTAAAATCGACGATAAGCATGATGTGAGAACACGAAGCTTCGTTGGCACGTCTGACTGCATTATGACGTCCTTTGAGCATGTTGGCTGTTTTATGGCGTCCTCTGAGCATGTTGGCTGTTTTATGGCGTCCTCTGAGCATGTTGACTGTTTTATGGCGTCCTCTGAGCATGTTGGCTGTTTTATGGCGTCCTCTGAGCATGTTGACTGTTTTATGACGTCCTCTGAGCATGTTGGCTGTTTTATGGCGTCCTCTGAGCATGTTGGCTGTTTTATGGCGTCCTCTGAGCATGTTGGCTGTTTTATGGCGTCCTCTGAGCATGTTGGCTGTTTTATGTCGTCCTCTGAACATGTTGGCTGTTTTATGACGTCCTCTGAGCATGTTGGCTGTTTTATGGCGTCCTCGTAGCATGTTGGCTGTTTTATGACGTCCTCTGAGCATGTTGGATGTTTTATGGCGTCCTCTGAGCATGTTATTGCCCATGGTTGCGTCCCAAGAGGTAGAGGACCGTGAAATGGCGTCCCTGAAACGTAGATAAGAATATAGTGACGTCCTTAGATTATGTTGGAGCGTGTCATGGCATTTCTAGATCATGGTGGAACGTGTGTGTGACGTTCCTAGACCATGTTGGAACGTGTGGTGGCGTTCCTAGACCATGTTGGAACGTGTGGTGGCGCTCCTAGACCATGTTGGAACGTGTGGTGGCGCTCCTAGACCATGTTGGAACGTGTGATGGCGTTCCTAGACCATGTTGGAGTGTGTGATGGCGTTCCTAGACCATGTTGGAGCGTGTGGTGGCGTTCCTAGACCATGTTGGAGCGTGTGGTGGCGTTCCTAGACCATGTTGGAGTGTGTGATGGCGCTCCTAGACCATGTTGGAGCGTGTGGTGGCGTTCCTAGACCATGTTGGAGCGTGTGGTGGCGTTCCTAGACCATGTTGGAGCGTGTGGTGGCGTTCCTAGAGAATGTTGGAGCATGTGGTGGCGTTCCTAGACCATGTTGGAGCGTGTGGTGGCGTTCCTAGACCATGTTGGAGCGTGTGGTGGGTCGCTTGCTGGGTTCAAGGCCCCGTCCGTGGCCGGGTTCTTGGTCCCCGATGGAGATGTTGTCGCCCGAGCGGCTGGGTCCGAAGCCAAGCGACACCTGTCGAAGTGAAGATTAAACAGATAAATATTCTGTTGACTAAACAGCTGATCTGATGAACAGTGATCAGGTTCAATAGCAGTGGAACAGATAAGGTATTTATTAGGAGAAAACGCCAAGCCAGTACGACTATAAAGCACTCGGAAGGGATAGGATGGTAACGATTTGGGATTGTCCAGAGGAATGGAATGATGTTGAAGAAAACTGAATGTAATATGAACAGTGAAGAGAACACGGCTGCTAGTACCGTATCGTCCTTGGCCGATAACACTTGGATTTTTATGAGAGAAGATAAATATTGTGGACACAACATACCTCCATACTGATGTAAATCAAGTCTTCCAATGTGCCTTAGAAAACAACATGAGGTTATTGAAAATAACTTCTAGCACCTTTATTATGGGAAAAAGGAAAATATCAAAACAGGAAGTACATATAAAACGTAGTCAAGGCACACTGTTCTAAAAAAAAGTAACATGAATTGATTGAGAATAATAATATTGGAAATGTTTCTTTTGAAGAACATAATAAAGTAGTTGTCCCAACTGCAATAAAAATGACAGGCTGGATAACAAGAACATTTCAGATAAGAGATGCCAGATCAATTATGGCACATTTTAAGACATTTTAAGTGCTCCTTATGGTGTGGTGTTGTTGCACACTAACAGCCTCATTCAAAGTGAGGAAAATTGTTGACTTGGAATACATACAGAAAACTTTTATTGCCTGAATTAATTCATTGAAACATCAAAAATTATTGAGACCGCCTAAAATTGATAAATCTGTATTCCCTAGATCGTAGGCGTTATACGTTATTATAAATAATAATTTACACTAGGAAAATATTAGAGGGAAATCAGGACACGGAAATGACTCGTCCTGAGACCACAAGGTATGGCAGGAAGGCGAAAATACACTGGTTAAAAAGCAATAGGTATACTGAGAGAGAACTCAATCAACATTAAGGGACAGGACTTTCTAATTACCTCTATTTGGTCCCACGACGTTTAAAAGTAAATTTGAAAAAACATCTCCAAAGCATACCTGATCATACCAAAGCATACCTGATCATACCAAAGCATACCTGATCATACCAAAGCATAAATCATGCTGTGATTTAATACGTCAGCCAGGCTGTGAGCAGTGGCCTCTTACAGCCTGATTGAACTATATGTTTAACAAATCTTTAACCCTGTCCATGAAGGAAAGAATAAAATGTATATATGCTGATTAGTATTGTAGATGTATGGCCACGTCTGTGGTAGACAGTAATAATAATACAAAACAACAGCCTGGTTGATCAGACCACCAACCGGGAGGACTCTTGTCAGAGAACGTGCCGCTGGACATCGATTTCCGGAACCAACGCAAAATGCATAAGACAGACCATGAACACGTAGGGAAGTGAATAACAAGTCAGAACTCTGAACATGAACAGCAAAACATAGGCTTAAAGATACACCAGGCAACAAGCTAAAGTGACAAGGAACATGCTAGCCAGGGAAATTTGCGTACCCTCAAAACGGTGAACATGTTAATTGGTAAGCTTGAACAGGTCAACAGTGAACAGTTTTAAGCAACCCACGAATGGTAAGCAAAATGGGTATGGAGCAGTTTATATGAAGATGGTACGCATTTGGTAAGCAGATTGAGCAGTGAACAGTTTAAAAGAGTTAAACACTTGTATAGTGAATAGGATATAGTGAGCAGTTAGCCCAGATGACAGTCAATATTTTTTGTGAAACTAATTGAACAAAGAATAGTGATGAGGAGAAATAACAAACAGGTTTCAGTGTGAAAAAGAAGAACAACTAACAGGTTATAAAATGAACAGGGAGGAACAGCAAACATATTTCACTAAGACTATAATCAACTGTGAGCAGGATAAAGATTTCATTAGATGAATTGTGAACAAGAACACTATTGAACATACCCATACGTAGATTAAAGTGTACACAATATATATATATATATATATATATATATATATATATATATATATATATATATATATATATATATATATATATATATATATATATCTGTATATCAAACTGGATGAAGCCATTTGGTTTGATGTTGGGCTTAAGCCCTATTAACGTGTGGAGGACTATTAAGACCAACACAAGTGTTCCTCGTTGACCAAGTTGCAGGTATACTGCAGTTCTGAAGAGAGCCCAGAAGAGAAGTAAACTCAGTATGTATACTCCGAGAAAAGGGGGTGGTATACATCTCTCGGTATACATATCCCTAAAAAAAAAAAAAGCAGGAAGTTGTAAAGTTATGTTTGCATCTTTTGAGAGTAAGGTTTGTCACACGCTAGCAACATGAGTATGTTGAAGTGTTTGTTGCAGGGGGGAATAAAACATTTATGCTGCGTCGTTTTGATTATAAATAATGTATTTTGTTTGACTTTATTTTATTTTATAATTTTTTGTTTAAGTAAAATGTGATAAAACGGTGCTTACATGTGACCCCATTTTTATTATAATAATTATATAAACTAAAAATATTTTATTTAAAACAATAATTTCGGGGATTTGATTACAGACATTGTTCGTAAGAATCGATTGATTGATTGATAAAAATTGTGCCACCCAAAAGGTGGCATAGGCATGAATAGCCCGTAAATATACAAATCGGCACTAGGCTGAACTGAACAGGTATACAGCTGTATAAATCATACATACATCTGTATACATCACTTTATAAACGTCCAGCTTACAGTTTTGAGTCGTGACATATATATGGGTAAAACACAGAGTAGTATTGATCACAACGGCTGTAGTATCAGTGACGGAATTGCGCCTAGAAATTACAACAGCAATATTATTAACATTTGTATCCTTTTTTACTTAGTACATTTTAGTATTATTATTTAGTATATTTAGACTGGCATAATCAAATAAATAAACAGGTTCAGAATTGAACTCTAAGAGGACGTTACCTTACCTTACCTTGCGGTTTCTTTGCGATGATGATTTCGGGGCTCAACGTCCCCGCGACCCGGTCCTCGAGTAGGCCCGCCCCCTCGTTGCTGGACTAGTCAAGCAGGCTGTTGGACGCGGCTGCTCACAGCAGCCTGACTTATGAATCACAGCCTGGTTGATCAGGTATCCTATGGAGGTGCTTATCAAGTTCTCTCTCCTGAACACTGCGAGAGGATCTACAGGTACTGATACCAAGCAGTGACACCACTGTTTGGTATCAGTTCTCTACAGGGGGGGAGGAGTTCTCTACAGGGGGGGAGGAGTTCTCTACAGGGGGAGAGGAGTTCTCTACAGGGGGGAAGGAGTTCTCTACAGGGGGAGAGGAGTTCTCTACAGGGGGGAAGGAGTTCTCTACAGGGGGGGAGGAGTTCTCTACAGGGGGGGAGGAGTTCTCTACAGGGGGAGGAGGAGATCTCTACAGTGGGGAAAAGCTACAGGAGAAAAGCTACAAGAGGAAAGCTACAGGAGGAGAGTTATAGGGGTTGTGATAAGTGTGACTGGAGGATTATGATCCCAAAATCCCACTGGAAATTATCGCTGTGGGCTTTTTGTTTGGGTTTAGGCTCATTAAATTCTTCCGGCGCTGTGGACGTCTATTAAGTTTCAAAATGAAAATGGAACTACTTTTTAGGCTTGGCGAATTTATCTTTCATCTTGCCTGACACCATCCAGGTATACCACCCGCCTGACACCACCCAGATATACCACCGCCTGACACCACCCAGGTATACCACCCGCCTGACACCACCCAGGTATACCACCCGCCTGACACCACCTAGGTATACCACCAGCTTGACACCACCCTGGTATACCACCAGCCTGACACCACCCAGGTATACCACCCGCCTGACACCACCCAGGTATACCACTCGCCTGACACCACCCAGGTATACCACCCGCCTGACACCACCCAGGTATACCACCGCCTGACACCACCCTAGTATACCACCCGCCTGACACCACCCTAGTATACCACCCGCCTGACACCACCCAGGTATACCACCCGCCTGACACCACCCAGGTATACCACCCGCCTGACACCACCCAGGTATACCACTAACTTGACACCACCCAGGTATACCACCCGCCTGACACCACCCAGGTATACCACCCGCCTGACACCACCCAGGTATACCACCCGCCTGACACCACCCAGGTATACCACTAACCTGACACCACCCAGGTATACCACTAACCTGACACCACCCTGGTATACCACTAACCTGACACCACCCTGGTATACCACCGCCTGACACCACCTGTTATACCACCCGCCTGACACCATTCAGGTATACCACCGCCTGACACCATCCAGGTATACCACCCGCCTGACACCACCCGGGTGTACCACCCGCCTGACACCACCCAGGTATACCACTAACCTGACACCACCCAGGTATACCACTAACCTGACACCACCCTGGTATACCACTAACCTGACACCACCCTGGTATACCACCTGCCTGACACAACCCAGGTATACCACCCGCCTGACACCACCCAGGTATACCACTAACCTGACACCACCCTGGTATACCACTAACCTGACACCACCCAGGTATACCACCTGCCTGACACAACCCAGGTATACCACCCGCCTGACACCACCTGGTATACCACCACCTTATACAAGCGTCATACACCAATGTTCCCATATACGATCTATTTACAAGATATTTACAAATTACTTCAATAAACGTGAAGCTGATTGGCCGATAGTTCGAAGCTAACGATGCCTGACAATTCTTACATATCAGCACCAGATTCGCGGCTTTCAACGAGTCGTCAACTCTCCGTGACTCTAACGATGGAGCCAATTCTCGCCAGCGTTCCTAACGCCCAGAAACTGTCGTACTAAAATGCCCTTATCCTAACCTTCCAGAGGACCTACGAAAAGAAAACGGTACAGAGTATCAATTTTGCGACCCGCTGCCATTTTCTAGTAGGGACAATTTTTGGTAGTAGGTAAATTATACGTCAAAATACGACGTGCTATCTGGCAGACGTGGT